GGACCCTAGTACATATTTGTTTACACATTTGATGAATTTAGACAATACAAAATCTGTCAAAGATATTAACTTGGGAGTAGCGAGCAAGTAGGCTACGGCCTCGACTGTGTGCGTGTCTACAAGCTCTCATTCCACCCATTGTTACCCGCTGACAACGGTGTATTGCAACACAACATTTCGTTCCATTATAGAATAAAATGACTGTGTAATTTAACAATTAGGCGAATGGACTGTGTAATTTATTTTAGCTTTGTACTTCTATACAATTTATTTAATACTATAGTCAAGTGACGTACCTACAGCATGAACCCCTTGCACCAGTATTCTCGCAGCTCTCCGAGGTAGACCTCTATTGCTAGCTATTTCCAAACAACGGTCATGTTAGACTGGCAGTGGGACCGCAGATTAGTGGTGCCTGTTGACCAGTTGGTCATGGGGGCTCCCAGGTGACCGTCACGTCGTGAGAGGCTGTGTTTGTGGTCAAGCAGAGGAATACATTGTGACGTCACCTCATGATATGACTCTTACACTGTAAGTTTCAGAAGCTGAGTTGAATTAAATAAGGATGAGAGAGTAATGACTGTGATGGCGCCTTATGGTGATTAATATGGATAACTCAATTGATATTAACTTTGAAATACTCTCTATTTTGACCCTAAATCTGAGAAATATATGTTTAGTGTTGTATACTCCTGCTGCTAGACCTCACTTCCTTGTAAATTACCGATAGGTAAGTACAGCAGTCAAAAGTCGTTTCTGTGTAGATATTTCAATTTCCTCACACTGACTTTGTCTATTATACTCTCTCTCTCTCTCTCTCTCTCTCTCTCTCTCTCTCTCTCTCTCTCTCTCTCTCTCTCTCTCTCTCTCTCTCTCTCTCTCTCTCTCTCTCTCTCTCTCTCTCTCTCTCTCTCTCTCTCTCTCTCTCTCTGTATTTACTATTTGTGCCTGCAGAATCGAGCTATTAGCCCTTGGACCCCGCCTTTCTAACCAATTTATTTTTACTATATTATGGCTACAGTATTACATATATATATCTTAACACACGCACACACACATACATCCCCAGAAAGTAGCCCGTAGCAGCTGTCTAACTCACAGGTACCTATTGACTGCTAGATGAACAGAACAATCAGCTTGAAAGAAACTCTGCCCATTTGTTTCTGTCTCGGCCGAAACTCCCTCTCTCTCTTTCTGTGTGTGTTTTGTCTCTCCATCTTCGATTTTTCGCAGGTTATTTTTTCAACTCTTTTTTTTTTTTTTTCTTCAAACCCAAGCTTGAAAAATTTAGGGGAAAATCGAGCGTCATTCAGCTGAGTGAGGAGGAAGACGTGGTAATGTTTACCCATGAACGGGAGAGCTGAGCAGGGCAAAAACTTCATGGGTATTTGACCCGTGGAGTTCCCCACCTTAGGCTGTGGGTGCTTTCACCCTTCCCATGATCTTCTGCGTCACTCTACACATTTGACTACTCTATGGCATTTATTCTGTTATTTAATGTTAATTATTTAATAACTTATCACAATATGTATTGAGTATTAAAATTATATCTTGTTGTTGGAAGGGTATGTGCGTAGCGGGTTTGTATAGAAATTTTGGGCATACATGATCAGAAGCCGTCATGAGCATGCGTGACCAGAGCCAGACATTGTACACCTTACCTAGCCAGATGGACACGGTGAGTGCTTGCCCACCCCGCTCCAGCTTATATATATATATATATATATATATATATATATATATATATATATATATATATATATATATATATATATATATATATATATATATATATATGCGAACAAGCCTGAATGGTCCCCAGGACAATATGCAACTGAATATATATATATATATATATATATATATATATATATATATATATATATATACACATATATATATACACAACTTTAGAACACTTTCCCACCAGGAGACTCGAACCCTAGCCAGCACAGAAGCCTTCCAGCAACTGGCATAACAGGTACGCCTTAACCCGCTCCACCACATACTTCACTCTCGTGTTTAGGAGAGTTGTGCCATATATATATATATATATATATATATATATATATATATATATATATATATATATATATATATATATATATATATATATATATAGTATATAAACCCGATTTTATTTTATTGCAAATATTATATTCTGGGTAAATCATAATTACGAGTAGGATCTAAGACAAATATGGCCCCCCTCTAACCTTTCCTTTCTTACACTATCAAAATAAGAGATTCAAAGTTGCGTGATATGTGTGTACGAGGTGTGTGTGTGTGTGTGTGTGTGTGTGTGTGTGTGTGTGTGTGTGTGTGTGTGTGTGTGTGTGTGTGTGTGTGTGTGTGTGTGTGTGTGACATCACCATGACGTCATAACGTTAATGCTGGTACAGGTTTTGGATCCAACAGATGATACTGAGCGAGTGTGCGGGGGTGCGTGAGAGGGGCAGGCGCCTCATTACCTGTTGTTGTTGTTATAGATTCAGCTACTCGGAACAAGTTTCAAGTAGCACGGGCTATGGTGAGCCCGTAACTTACCTGGCACAGGAGCGGGGCAAGTAGCACAGGCTATGGTGAGCCCGTAGTGGACTTACCTGGCACAAGAGCCTCATCACCACTACTGCGGTGTCAGCGCCGCATATAGTACTTGGCTCCTGCTCACCTCCCAGAATTGCCCAATGTACTCAGGGTGTAGTCCAACTATAGTGTTGTGTAGTGTCTGGGTATGATTTCTGGCAGCTTGCGCGTGGTGTTCCTTGAATATACACCATGAACGCTCGTTTGCTCTCCAACATGCAAACTGGACATTATTTTGTAGGATGGATATCGTCCGTAATTACTAGATTATATCTCCATCTGTGTTTATACATTCGCTGTTTATATTTTATGCTGTTTCGAGTATGTATAACTATGTATTTCTCTCTGTGTGAATTCTTTCTCTCGGCTCGCGAAAGTGACGTTCTGTCCCGTTTTCTGTTTTGGCTCCTCTGGCTTAGGCTGTTAGATCAGGAAATAACACTTTCAATTAACGGTTTTCATGACGTTTTGAAACATTAGGAGAACTTCCTGCCTTGGAAAACTTGCCTTTTTCGAAAAAATCCAAATATATTATAAATTAATTTTCATTTTCAAATTACTGCCATTTTTTGGCCGTAGCGTAACGAGCGAAAAGCGACGCAATTTGATAGTCCCAAGGTTCTGGGTTCGATCCCCGGTGGAGGCGGAAACAAACGAGCAGAGTTTATTTCACCCTGAGGCGTCTGTTCATCTAACAGTAAATAGATATCTGGGAGTTAGACAGCTGCTTCGGGCTGCTTCCTGGGGATATATAACAAAAAGGAGGCCTGGTCGAGGACCGGGCCTCGGGGACGCTCAGCCCCCGAAATCATCTCAAGATAACCTAATTAATCTGATACACAGTCTTCCTTCAATGAAGAGAGGTGATATGGAACATTTTGTAATTTCATTTGGGAAAATATTTCCCGGCGGGGGGAGGGGGGGGGGAGACAACGTGGACTGAGAATCAATAAAGTGTATGGAAAAGTACGCATGCGCACTCGCCAATTGTCCCTTGTGACTGCCGGTTGTTAATATAATTATATATATAATATATTTTCGGGCTTGAGGTGATATTAAGTGTATGTAGCTCCGTCAGCATTTCCTTAACCTCAGTCTCAATACAAAAGTAAGTCTTGGAGCGTACTGTAATTGTTCTTAATACAGTTACTTGTCGAGACTGGAGAGGGGGGACCCCCCCTCTCTACGGCACTACAGTCTGCTGACCTTACTCACTCTACTGTCTACCTCACTCTACCGTCTACCTCACTACGAGTTTCTTTACATATCTTGGTGTTCAGCTTCCACAGATGTCCTCTTGTTATATCAATTTAAAAAAAAATACTATTTATTGTTAAAAATATTAACACAGTTAAACTGAGAGGAGCTCCTCCCAGTTTAGCTATGTTAACATTTTTAATAGTTAAATAGTATTTTTTTTTTAAATTGAGAGGTGATATGACTATTAGACTGCCCAATAGGTTTTGTAACCTAATACTCTAATCGCTTAAGAGCTGAGACGCGGGACCCAAGAGCCGTGGCTCATCTAGTCCAAATACAACTAGGTGAGTACTGAGAGCTACAACTTAAAGCAAACTTAAAGCTGGCAGACTGTTGTGTGTCATGACCTTCACTGGTCTCGCCCTGGCCCGTCTCCTGCTGGTCCCGCCCTGGCTGGTCTCCTGCTGGTCCCGCCCTGGCTGGTCTCCTGCTGGTCCCGCCCTGGCCCGTCTCCTGCTGGTCCCGCCCTGGCTGGTCTCCTGCTGGTCCCGCCCTGGCTGGTCTCCTGCTGGTCCCGCCCTGGCTGGTCTCCTGCTGGTCCCGCCCTGGCTGGTCTCCTGCTGGTCGTGCCCTGGCTGGTCTCCTGCTGGTCGTGCCCTGGTAACCCCAGTACTGGGCGTCCATGACTGGCGTGGTGGTGGACCTGGGAGACTCAACGGGGCTTCCCAGTAGATGTTCAGCGGAAATTATGTCAATAGCTTTGTAAGTTTTCTGGAAGCAAATATTAATGCGAATTGTTTAGGGCCACGGGCGTAGAAATCTATAAACCTTGCTTCAACCTAGTCAAGAATTCAATTATTCTATTCATTCATACAAGGCCTATTTTGCCCGAAACGCTATACGTGCTAGTGGCTTTACAAGAATGTAAAATCAACTTCAATTTTATGTTCTTTCATAACCCCCAATGTACCTTCTTGTATATAAATAAATAAATAAATAAAATTCGTTTTATTTCAGTGTTAAACTATCATTCAATGATAAATACTGAATTGGGATTTACACAAAATAATGTAATTTATTACGAGTATATTATATGTCACAAATTCATTGTTTCAACGATTTAGAATTAGGATACATATATACGCAAAGATCGTACGTGTGGCAATGGTGGTGCATAGCTTCCCAGTAGGAACTTTTTCCAGCGTGTGAAAATCCCAGTGTGTCTCACTCGGCTCCGGGACGCCGGCGGTGACAGACGGTCGTGGGGGGTTTACTATTGCCGGTCTTAACACCACAAAACCCCTCGAGTTTATACCGAACTTGCATCCAAACGGTGTATGTATGTATATGTGTGTGTGTGTGTATCGTGAATAGTGACGGAACAGGTACAAGCAGCCGCAATTAGTGAATTGGTAGATGATTCAGACCCCCAAGTGTTGTGGAATAGTGACCAGTTAACAATGACCTAACTTGGGAACGGTGGTCCTAGCCAGCAGTGGTGGTCCTAGCCAGCAGTGTGGTGGTCCTAGCCAGCAGTGTGGTGGTCCTAGCCAGGCCTGGGGGGGTGACTGGTTCACGCACTACTAACCAACTGGGTAAGTGTTGGAGAAGTGCTCTGTTTCAACCTTACCTTTAGTTAATTGATAAATTCCATATAGGGGCCCCGGGGGTATTGTATTAGATCATGGCCCCCGGGGGTATTGTATTAGATCATGGCCCCCGGGGGTATTGTATTAGATCATGGTCCCCGGGGGTATTGTATTAGATCATGGCCCCCGGGGGTATTGTATTAGATCATGGCCTCCGGGGGTATTGTATTAGATCATGGCCCCCGGGGGTATTGTATTAGATCATGGCCCCCGGGGGTATTGTATTAGATCATGGCCTCCTGGGGGTATTGTATTAGATCATGGCCCCCGGGGGTATTGTATTAGATCATGGCCCCCAGGGGTACTGTATTAGATCATGGCCTCCCGGGGGTATTGTATTAGATCATGGCCTCCTGGGGGTATTGTATTAGATCATGGCCTCCTGGGGGTATTGTATTAGATCATGGCCCCCGGGGGTATTGTATTAGATCATGGCCCCCGGGGGTATTGTATTAGATCATGGCCCCCAGGGGTACTGTATTAGATCATGGCCTCCCGGGGGTATTGTATTAGATCATGGCCTCCTGGGGTACTGTATTAGATCGTGACCCAGGGGTACTGTATTAGATCGTGACCCAGGGGTACTGTATTTGATCGTGACCCAGGGGGTATGGCTATAGAAAATGGCCCCTAGAGGCATCTCATTAAATACTGTACAGGTTTGCTTACCAGGGAACATTAAGTATGGTGTTGAACACTTACGTATAACAAACAACAAGATGTAGATGATTGGCTGGCCTACTACGGTGAGCAAGTTACTATCCTTACCTATCAAAGTAGATTTAATTCATCCCTGTGTCGGGATACCTTTCAGAAAGACGATAATTTGTATTTCAGAGCGAGAATTATGACTAGAGTTGACAGCCCATCAGTCACCCATCATGTTGACAGTGATGGAGAGGCCAGGCATATATGGTCATGATGCTATTTTAGCAAAATATATACTGTAATTGGTTGTGGTGTGAGACTAGTTCAATTTGATACTCGACTAAACATATATAATATTTTTTCCTGGCGAGAGATTGGTGAATTGTTATATTGAGAAGTTTGTTTATTTGTAATTTTTTCAATATAAAAACGTTTTAACAGGGGTTTTGATCTTGGTTTACTCTTTGTCGAGTCGATCATCTATGCAACATATGTTGTGAGAAATAGTATAGTTGTACTATATATGTATATCTTTTCATGTAATGACTGGGATATATGTACTGTACCTCAAAAGAGGTCCTCGTCTTGTACCATTTGTACAATATTGCAAAGGGCCCAAAGAAGTAAGGGGTTAACCTAACATGAACTTAAGTTACCTCAGAGCGCACATAATATTTTCCTTCACCTTTGTGTTCAGGCCTGATGCCTCTCTATTGACCAGTCGTTTCTTTGTCTGTGTCGCCAAGTTGTTGCCAGTGAGGTAAATTGATTCCATAATTGTGGAAATTTACCCGACCGCTAAATTCTTTAATTTATTTTCGATCGCTTCGCAAAAGTACGCGAAATAAAATATAGGCGGCATGTTTTATCCAGCGCCAGGGTGATGGTAGCGCTGGTTGCTAGGGTGATGGTAGCGCTGGTTGCTAGGGTGATGGTGGTGATAGCGCTGGTTGCTAGGGTGATGGTAGCGCTGGTTGCTAGGGTGATGGTGGTGATAGCGCTGGTTGCTAGGGTGATGGTAGCGCTGGTTGCTAGGGTGATGGTAGCGCTGGTTGCTAGGGTGATGGTAGCGCTGGCTGCTAGGGTGATTGACTTGAGTCATTTAATATGCACCCCGAGCAGTGAGCGGCGGTGAACCATTTGCAAATAATCACACGAAAACACAAGAATATTGTAAAGAAAATGTCAAGATTGACTTTAAACTTTTTATCTCGTATGTGAATTATATATGTGCTAGTCAAACATCTTGTATTTTATACATCTTGTATATACGCAATGTTGACTTTTATTTTAAATATTAACACATGTAACACTCATATTCCCGGTAACTTATTATTTTAATTATTACATTTTATCAAAAGCTACACGAGTTTGTATTGGTAGGCTGAACTGCCTATTAACTCACAAGCATACGTTTTTCTCCAATACTGGCGTGATCGGAGTACTCTATGAAGCTTTAGAACAGACTAATGAACAAATATGCAAAAAAATTAAAATACAATCATCAGTCTACGTGTATGGTTTAATTTGGTCATTGGTATTTGAATATGTTCTCTGCACAAGTGTAGGTGTGGGGCTGCCTTGATTGCGGTGCTATGGCAATATTTTGAGTGATCTTATTTCTGTTACATGCTAGGCTGTCTACTGCATGGGTTCAGTTAAATCGAGAGTATACATCTTGTTTGTTTTTTTAGGTCAGTAGTCAACATATATTTGTTTACATTCCAGCCAAAGTAGTTACAGATACTACAATTTGTTACGGTTAGGTTGCAAAATAGGTTAATTTGAAATTATGTTTTATAATAAAAATCAACATCTTCAAAATAGGTGTCGTCTAAAGAAAAAAATAGTTTTTTTCCAGCATCCTCGAAAGTGCTGCGAAAAGGTATTTTATAAAATATTGAACAAAAAACCTTAAAATCTGAAAATTGATATAATTCAGTTGACCCCTCCAAGTTGTTAGGCATAATATTAGCTAATACTTCTAAATTACTGTATATATGATCATTATATTGTATATTATTTAATAAAGGGAAACAAATTATACAGCGACGCCTTAGAAATTCAGAAAACACAAATTAACGTCAATAAACTGGCCAAAAAGTTTGCCTATTATATGCGCCAAAATATAATCAACATTTACAAATATTATTAAGCTTGGCAATAGTTTAATGTTCAATAAACTAGAGCTTTAAGACTCGGACGCACTAACAGAGCGGCTTAATTTTTCAACGCTAGAGGTCTTGTATTTTTAATTCACATCTGCCAGATTTTTTCTCTATAGCATTTAAATAGTTTACATCAATATATTTGTATTTTTTTCCACAAAAAAAAAACTTATTATACAAATACCTTTTAAAGTTAACATGTGCAGACGGTGGGTCACAATAACGTGTCTGAAGAATGATCTTGAGGTTATCTTGAGATGATTTCGGGGCTTTTTAGTGTCCCCGCGGCCCGGTCCTCGACCAGGCCTCCACCCCCAGGAAGCAGCCCGTGACAGCTGACTAACACCCAGGTACCTATTTTACTGCTAGGTAACAGGGGCATAGCGTGAAAGAAACTCTGCCCATTGTTTCTCGCCGGCGCCCGGGATCGAACCCTGGACCACAGGATCACAAATCCAGCGTGCTGTCCGCTCGGCCGACCGGCTCCCCTGATGTCCAAACCTCCGCACGACTTGATAACGGTCCAGGACTGACGAGAAACAATGGGCAGTTTCTTTCACCTTATGCCCCTGTTACCTAGTAGTAAAATAGGTACCTGGGTGTTAGTCAGCTGTCACGGGCTGCTTCCTGGGGGTGGAGGCCTGGTCGAGGACCGGGCCGCGGGGACACTAAAAAGCCCCGAAATCATCTCAAGATAACCTGACTGACCGAAACGTCATTGCTTCGCCATATTCAGAGTTGTGGTTTGATCATCTTGTGTGAAGTCAAGAAGTTATAAGCTACGTTAAAACGTAGGCATTTCGAAGCACAGAATGAAATAAAGTTAACATTTTAGGCAATATACCCTTTGACCAGTTGGCTGTCATTTACAAGCTGAACAGCCACGACAGTATTGTGTGTGTGTTCTTAGCGTACGGCTTATCTAATCAGACTTCCGATTGATAACACTGTTTACAACTCTACATGAACACTTAAGGGATAGAGGTACCTGTGAGAAGGAACATATTAATTTGACGAGTGATTCCGTCCCTGTACATTGTTCATGTTCAAGTACAAATCCGCTTACACTTAATTTTCGTAAACAGAATATGAGGGCGTAAGTGTGCATGTAGCTGGAGTGGGAGGCTAATGCGCCTCCCACTAGTCGGCAGCTATACGCTTGCTGGCTACTGTTGTAAAAATACTTCACTCGCCTTGTGTGATTGAGTGTTCAGTAACTCGCTACTGTGTTGTTTAACAGATCGCTAACTCTGCCCGTGGAGGACAAAAGAAAATGTATATATGCTGGTTAGTATGATATAAATGTATGGCCACGTCTGTGGTAGGAAACAGAAAAAAAATCCGCTGGCCACTTAACGCTTAATTAAGCTCGTTGTTCACCATTCTTACCACTATTTTGTCCACGTTTTTATTAATTTGTTCACTTAGTGTTACACTGGTGGGAGGAAATGATGCGAATGTCCTTGCTCACAGTCTCCACCGTTGGCACACCACTTTGGTTGGTGGAAGGTGGTGGGGGTATTGCGAAATTTAACTACATTGAAGGTAGTTAAGTTACATCTTGTGATCTATGAGCAAAGGATAAGAGTAAGAGATAGGAACCATTTCTGTGGGTAATGCACATGCTGGTGTGAAGCCATTTTGCCCTATCTTTTCATGTTTAACAAGGCTATTTTAAGTCTCAAGTTCAAATTTCTAATAGGGAGTCAAGTAGGGCTGGTATTGGCTGTCAGTAACTCCAAGGTTATATATTGTGTTTTATAAGGCGCTAAGGACTTTTTTTTTTTTTGCAGCACGAGAGAAGATATTTGAGGTGGTTAGGCATATTGCAGTTGGCTTACAATCGGTTGCTCCTGGGTTCGACTCCCGACTATTGCAAGGCGATACATTTGGCCACGTTTCTTTACACGTGATGCTACTATGCATTAAGCAGCAAATGTATCTTGGAAGATAGCCTCATTGCCTAGGGTTGCCATCATACTGCCATATTCCTTTTATTAACAATTTGAAACAATTTAATTACCAAACGAGAAAGTTTTTGGATATCATTACAGTCCCTCCCTGGTAATATGTATATTGTCAATAGACAGAATCGTAGAGAAGAGTTTTGATTCAACACGGGAGATGGTGGTGGCTACCTGTGATTGATGAAGATTAAGCCACCCAAAAGGTGGCACGGGCATGAATAGCCCGTAAGTGGTGGCCCTTTTGAGCCATTACCAGTATAAAGCGCTTATACTGGAGATCTGTGGAGGTGCGACTGCACCCTGCGTGACGGGAGAAGTCTCCCGTCGGCTACCTGTGGAGGCGAGGCTGGAGATGCAAGTAGGGAGATCTGGCGGAGGCTGTTGGGGATGGGGGAGTCTCCATGTGGGTGGGGTGGGGGGGTGGGGGGTGGGAGGGCGGTAAGAACCACCCACAAGCGCACCTGCCTATCGAAGCCGGTGTGAGCCAGTGTGAACCAGTATGAAGCACAGGAAGTGCGAACATATTAGGGTTAACTAGCAATGAAGGGGTCATATTGCAGGAGTTCGTGAATTTGGGTTTGTTCTTGTATGCCATTGTATACACAATTGGAGTTTTCTTTCTTTCCCCCACCCTCCCCTAGCTGTCCCAGATATTTATAATTATTGCCGAATTTTGTTTTTCAAGCAGGTGAGTTGGCAATAATTTTTCGATTGCTGTCAAGGAGGTCGTGACTCGGAGGTGAACTCCCAGTCAGTTGCCGGACTCTGAGACTGTTATTATGTCTGGTGTTAACATGGGCTCCGGGAGTTGGTGGTGTCTAAGAGCAGCTTCTCGATCTTGTCTGATATGTTCACCACCAGCTGGTCTTCATGGACAGTCTTAGAGATCTGTTAAACATGTAATTCAGTGATTTATTGAACATACAATAACACTTAACACTTAAGAGGTGAGAGTGGTGGGATTTCCCCGTGCGACCAAGAGCGTAGCTGTCAGCCCAATACAGTACAGTATGCTGGTTGTATACAGTATAGCGTGGTTGAAGAGTTAACACCTACCCACACATCTGAAGGGAAAACGAACGTCGTCGTTTCATTTAATACTGTTCATTGACAGTATTCAATATTTGTATACTTCGATATACACGCATGATGTCGAATGTTGATTTGACAAACTCTTTTTTTATTGAAAGAGTTGACTGGTTTTATCCTGTTATAAATATGAACGCTGAGAACAGGTACACAACGATGAAATCTTGACCATATTGGCATGCAGAGCTTTACCATATAGTTTTATGCAGAGAAACTTCTGGTGAAGGCATGACATATGAGGCTACTAGCGGACCTACCCAACACCCTTCTGCATGAACTATATCATCAAAGTCGAAAGCGAGGCGTCTTACCAGACAACTGGATGTCACAATTTCAAAGTAAACTCGTTCTTATCTTGAATGACTTTGTTGCTAGAGCAAGTATGCCAGCCTCCTTTGATGACTACTTCATCAGACAAGGACCAAAAAAAGTCGTGTAACTTAAATTTGTCTCCGGGGAGATTTAGACATCAAACGTGGAACTAATCTCAGAGCAGTTAGCCTCCTTTAGTGTCAAGGAAATATTATATAGATCAGTACAGCAACAGAACTGGCCCGTCGGTTTAAAATGGAGTAAAAAGCAGAGCTAATGCTCCCTTTTGAATTGAGCACACCAGAGGGCAGAGTGCTCCTTGTGTTATAGAGTAATAGCGGACATACCTGCTCTACCTGCTGCACAGATTACACTTATTATTGTAAACGGTAGCAACCGGCTACAATACATTCTTTACACTTGTCACAGGACGTATTGAATGTGGTTTTTCTGTCCCACAAATACTTAGCAGCCAGTAGCCTAAAAACATAACCTCCAACTTTTTTTTAAGTCATTAAATAAAGAGAAACTGCAGGTAGTAGACATATATCGGTATATCAGCAGTGAAATTGTAAGTGACTTACATGGTACTGTAGGTCAAGCAAAAATTAATAAGCCTCTTCAAACAAGCTGGTAAGCTCATTATCAATTTTAAATATGCCACAGTGTTCCAAGTGTTATGTTAGAGTCCCAGTTGACTACCACAACTTTGTCATTAATAACGTCACCGGCACTAGGCTGAAATCACTAGAAACTATACATAATGACCATATGAACAATATTCAACATGAGGAAAGACTTGAAACTTCCTAATATATTAAGCAATTAAGCATGACCTGCATTAAGATCATGTGTGAGAAACTTCACATCTCCAACTGTGTTCAGAGACAAACTTTACGGTGCCGTCAGCAGCTCAATCAGCGCTGGCAACGCGTCAACATGCAACTTATATACGAACTGACCGAGTAGAAGTGCTGCCAACCTCATCATATTGACTATCCCTACAGCGTGTAATGTATGTTAGAGATATTCCGCATTATCTTCGTAATACTGGTGTCATACAGAGCCATCAGTAAAAAGCATTGATGACAAACGCAATGATACAGCAGCAACCCTTGAGCAATCTTCACCCCTTATGAATACTCTGCAAAAGAACTTGATGACTGTGTTTAAAATGACGACTCTGTCAACAGCTTGCACTGCACTATCATCTTTTAAGTTCAACAGAAGCAATTGATTTTCGCACACACGTCTTAGACTGGCTGGCAGAGTTTCTCACGACCTGCATTACTACTAGTTACTAATTCACTGAAAATTACAAAAGTTGTTTCTGGAAAGGAGCACCTGAAAAACCAGCTCGCAAACTATTGGACTCTCATAAGACCATTTATAAATAATTTAATTAATGCAACACAAGCACAGTTTCATAAACACCCAAGGAGCAGAGAGAACTAAGTATTATTAGTACTTATGAGTATTATGTATTATATGATTATTAAGAGCTGTGATCTATTAGAGCAGTGATGTGGTAATTGTCAGAGATAGACAGAGATAACGTTACTTACGACAGATAAATTTCTCAACACTGGGCACTCAAATTATGAACTCTTCAGCCTCAAATCAGTGGATGCCTAATTGTTAATAATTGTATATGAAATGGTATGGAATATCTGGAGCTTCGTGGTTATTTTATCAACTCTCGGACATTGGAGAGTATATTCAGTCTGTCCGATATTTGCTAATGCAAACTAATGACGTCGGGTCGTCTTCGTTATGGCAGATAATTTTATTTAAATGTGAATGGATTGAATTTGTACATAGTTCCTATGTATGTTACTAGGGACATTAATACAAGTTGTTCGGTAAATGAGTATGGATGTAACGGAAGCTGGCCTGCCGCTGAATGAGAGATCCAGGTGGTTCAACAAGGGCTTTGTGCGTGTGTGTTAAATATTCTCATATATTTAATTATGCAGAACATGTTTTCACTGTCCTATCACTGGTCTCGGTCTCTTATGATTAACCCCGGTGGGCGAGGGTCCAGCCTCTTGAGAGTTGGTTCTGTACAACCGTGAGACTCGGTATTCACATCCCTACTGTTGTCAGACAAACTGCTTTCAATGAAGAAAATAGTGATGTGCTGCCAGGAATCTTAGCGAAGTATCCAAAATTTACTTACTGTAGGTGCAGCCTTCACATGACTGTAAAGCTGCCACCCATTTGGATGGGTGTGGAACAAGACTAGCACACTGTAGGAGTGCCTACGGTGTGCTAGTCTTGCACACCACACAACTACACCGTAGGAGCTACTAGTTTCCCTCCAATACTGTGAGAGATGCGACCACATCCTGGGACCTAGTAGTTCCCTCCAGCATCATGAGAGATGCGACCACATCCTGGGAAGAAGTGCCACCGTTCCCGGATCAAGAAGTGTGTACCGCGTGAAAGCCTTGACTACACTGAGAAAAGTTGGATATAGTTAAATTAGTTTTTACAGTGTGAGAGAGATGTTGGTGGGTACATAGCCTCAGCTGGCAACCCATGGCGGGCTGCTCGTCGGATAATTACAGGCTTGGCAACCTCTCCAGGACCTTCGGGAAGTACTGTATCTTTTTTTTATATCTGCATGGGAAGGATACCAGTTTTTATTTTGATACGCCAGCGATTTATTTCTGATTGTACATGTGCGTTTAGAAATTGAACACGCCTGTTCAAAACGGCGATTCATTTTGCCAAGAAATCATTTTATTTTGCACCAGTTTCCTCTGAGGCCAAGGGTATTTCCTCTGAGGCCAAGGGTTATACCTTGGTTATAACCTGCGTTATACCCAAGGTATCACGCAGGTTATGTATATGCCCCAAAACGTACCACTTCCTTCAAAGAGAGACTGTAGTTTGAATTGAAATTAATTTAAAAACTTACATGTATGCAAGAAAGATAATTTTTTTCATCAGTTAAAAAAAAATTCCACCAATGTTGTTTATTTCCATTTTGAATGTTTTTTTCTACATACAAAATAATAATAAATCATTATATTATAAAATATTAATAATTTTGTTCAGAGTAACTGAATCTAAAAGAACAAACAACGTCTGGCTTGCGCTTCGTGTGTTTGCTACGCAGTTGAAAGCTACGACAGTTCGTAAGAGATTGTCTTAATCGCATTATATGCAAAGCCTTAATTGTGATTCATTCACAGGTGGCCATTGATTTGCAGCCAAGTGGCGAGTAACTTGAAGCTGTAACTCGGGCAGTGTGAGTGAGGGCGTGCGTCCGTGCGTGCGTAGGTTGTGCGTGTTCCAGGGGTGGACCTTGAGGCAGTACCTTGATTATCCTGCTTCGCCACATGCCCTCCCTACCCACGTACCCGCCCACATACCCGCCCACCAGGACCAGTAAGTTCAGTAGAACTTCGGTTTCAACCCTTTTTACCCTGTCGTAGCTCAGTCGATTAAGGCAGTGTCTGGGATGCTCACGGACGCAGGTTCGAATCCTCGTCACGGCCCTTGTGGATTTGTTCTGCCCACCTTCATACAGTACGTCGTCCACCATGCAAAGTATACAGTTTATTAATAGATTTCTTTGTTATTGCATTCTACTTCGAAGCCGTACTTTGGCAGAATGGGTCTTTCTGTACAGCAAAATCAGTCTTTGTTGTTGTTGTTTAAGATTCAGCTACTATGAACAAACAGTTCCAAGTAGCACGGGCTATGGTGAGCCCGTAGTGGACTTACCTGGCACAGGAGCGGTGCTGTAACTTGATCAGTCATTTCGGAGTTTAGTCTCATGGTTACCCCATGGTGGTGGTTTCGGCCTCCCCCCCCCCATCCCTTCCCAAACACCTTCCTCCCTAGTGAGAAGGTTCTGGGAATGCATTCATGGCCCATATGAAAATAAACGATTAGTCCGGTTTAGGGTTTCTACTCTGCTTCCTCGATTACTGCTTGACCAGTCAGCCTATTGCTGCTAAGGTTAGTCTTCTGAGAGGCATTACAAACCATTTAACCTGGCATTTCATCTATTTGCTTGTAGAAGGTTATATCGAACATTATATCTTGGATTGTAGTAAAATTGAGCCATTTAGAAATAAATCTAAACTCACGTTGTGGGAAATGGCAAACCATCTAATTACTAAGGATAAAATACCTGAAATCCTCGCACTGTGTCCATATTTCGTATCCAGTAGATTATGTATCAAACAATTGTGTATTAGCGATAAGACCAACCATTAATGTATAATGATTTAATGTAAATATATAGCTCTTGAAATAGAACGCTCGCTAACTAGCTGGCGTTATAATTATAAGGCGTGAAGGATAGATGAATTTGTTAATTTAATAATCTCCGTTGAGGTCTGATACAGATCTTTTGTGCCCTCTGTAATCCTTTTTGCGCTACCGCTCACAAGATGAGTATGGGGTACACAGTAAACTAGCTGCCTTCGGCGGCAACAATCAGTATAATCAGTCTTCCTTGTAGACAATCTGGTATTCCCAATACGTGGTCGAGCATTACATTAGTGTGGAGGTAAACAGGCAGGCGCGAGTGTGTTATAGTGGGGGAAAACATTGTTAAATCTCAGAGACAAAGACATGTTCCAGAGGGAGGTGGGGTCCCTCGATTGTTTCTAGCATGGGTTGGAGATTTATATGAGTGAGATTGGGTGGTTATAAATAGGAGCTGCCTCGTATGGGCCAATAGGCCTTCTGCAGTTGCCTTTGTTCTTATGTTCTTATGTTTTTTCGCAGTTTAAGATTCAGCTGCCTGGAAGAAAGAGCTCCAAACAGCACGGGTTATGGTGAGCCCGTCTGAAAGGGTGGGGGGTGGGGGTTTACAGAGACGTGCGGGCGCAGAATGTGCGAGAATGTGTCTGCGTTGAACCTTGACAATACATTTGTACACAGAGCGCAGTGCGCCTTACCGTACTTGGTCCGTCATTGCATTAACAAACAACAGTGTTCCCTGTGCCTTATCACGTACACGCTTACATGAAAGTGTTAAACTTTGGGAATTAACCAGCGAGAGTTTATCGTCACGCAGTCCACTTGAGTCGGAAATTTGACTTCGTGGTCGTGTCCTATTGTGCGTAAGGTCTCTGACAAATCAGAGACAATTTCGGTACGAATATTAAACAAGATTTTATTAAAAATTATATATTGCTAGAAATCTTGGCTAATATCCAAAGTTTGGCAGTCAGAGCGTATTTAGACACGTTTGGCCTATATAGAGTCCCCCCCCCCCCCGATGTAACCCCACATCAAGCTGACTAACTCCTGGGGTACTAACTTACTGCTAGGTGAACAGCGGCATTAGGCGATAGGAAATGCGCCCATCCATTTCTCTCCTGTCCAGGATTTGAGCCCGGAATTCTCTATTGATAATCTTCGTTGAGGTCAGATAGAAACCTAATCCTATTTGCGCTACCGCTCACAGGGTGAGTATGGGGTGCATAATAAACTAGCCGCCTCCAGCGGCAGTAATAATAAAAAAAAAATGCCGGAACAAACCCGACTATTTCCCACGGGATTGATATGGGGTGCATAATGAACAAAATGAAAATCAATTATTTGTTACGCTTGGAATGTATGCAACTTTTTGTGTGACTTCGGTAATTGAGGCAAGCATGGTGCCGAAGCATAAGGCAGACTAATTGTTAATGTTTATAAATCGAGCATGAACTAATATAATCCTTCGTCTTGTAACTGGCTCCACCATGCGGCTCTTGTTAATTCTTGTGTAGATTGTGTTGGATAAGTTCATAGGAAATGCGTTGTTTGATGTGACTGCAATTAATTATTTTATCCATTATTGTTTCAAGCGCGGGTTGGACAAGTATATGAGTGGGATTGGGTGGTTATAGATAGGAGCTGCCTCGTATGGGCCAATAGGCCTTCTGCAGTTACCTTTGGTCTTATGTTCTTATGTATATTAGCGTGTGAAAGTGGACTGAGGCGCTGGTGGTTAAGGGTGGTGAAACCCTCTATATTCCGGAGTCAAGCCAGGCCCACCACAAGCACACCCCGAGGTACCCGAGAGGGTCGGGGTGGCCGGGACAGGTTGTGCTGGAGCTTCAAGGTTACCTGCTACACCAGGTGTGTGTGGGGACGCTAGGCCGGGACCTCCACCCTAGCTGCCACCGCCTCCACTCCTTACCAGACTTCCACTGTACTTCTGGCCTGTGTTGGGTGTAAACGTGCCGGAACAACCGTGGACATCTTCAAGAGGAAACTGGATTTATTGCTGCAAAGTGTGCCGGACCAACCGGGCTATGGTGGGTATGTGGGCCTGCGGGCCGCTCCAAGCAACAGCCTAGTGGACCAAACTTACAAGTCAAGCCTGCCTCCAGGACCCCATCAACCAGGTATTAACCAGGTTATTCCAACACACTGTTGTAACCTCATTACTGGGAGGTAATAAAGGTGGTTGTTGCTGTTGTTAAACAATCGATAGTTAAACCGATTAACTATCTTCATCTTAGTTTTAAAGATGAATTTATTAAGTTCCATCTGGTATTTTGTTTATCCACTTTAAAACCCACTAATGTTCTCAAGTATTTATAGTTTCACGTGCATGACAAATAATAAACTTGTATGCCTGGCCTACATAGCCTCGGTTTGGTGCCTTTCTTTGATGATTACTTGTATGCCTGGCCTACATAGCCTCGGTTTGGTGCCTTCCTTTGATGATTACTTGTATGCCTGGCCTACATAGCCTCGGTTTGGTGCCTTCCTTTGATGATTACTTGTATGCCTGGCCTACATAGCCTCGGTTTGGTGCCTTCCTTTGATGATTACTTGTATGCCTGGCCTACATAGCCTCGGTTTGGTGCCTTCCTTTGATGATTACTTGTATGCCTGGCCAGTTATATATTTCACACGAAACTTACTGCAGCTTAGCCAATGTATGAAGAGTGTAAACCTGCGTAGCTGCTTAGTTTCAGTACGTAGCTCGATTCTTGAGGGCCCATGTTAGTAGAGACGTGTAGGTAGCTGGGGTCAGGCGGCGGCGTGGCAGTGTAGGTTATCTTGAGATGATTTCGGGGCTTTTTAGTGTCCCCGCGGCCCGGTCCTCGACCAGGCCTCCACCCCCAGGAAGCAGCCCGTGACAGCTGACTAACACCCAGGTACCTATTTTACTGCTAGGTAACAGGGGCATAGGGTGAAAGAAACTCTGCCCATTGTTTCTCGCCGGCGCCTGGGATCGAACCCAGGACCACAGGATCACAAGCCCACCGTGCTGTCCGCTCGGCCGACCGGCTCCCTCCCAGTGTATTGGACGGAAGGAACTCTCAACCTTTCTCAATTCAAATTTTGTTGAGCGGATGCTTCTAAACACGCTGGTTGGGAGTGTCGAGTTTTTGTGGTGGCGGTGTAGGCAAGTCCAGGAAGGCAGCTCAAACTAGTTGGTGTGCTGAGAGAGAGGTGGGGGGGGGGGGGGTTGAGAGCGGATGCTTGTGATAGTGTTGTGGGTTTTGGGACCCACAACCTCGTCTGGTAATCTAACTTTCACTTGCGGTCCTGGTCATTCTTTACACCTCGCAGGAGATATCGGCTAGGGTCTAGCACTGTATTTTTTACGTAACATTCCCTGGCAGTAATTAGACTTCTTAGACAGAGGAATATGAAGAGAGAAAAGAGAGAGAGAGGCAGGAAACCGTAGAGAGAGAGGGGGGGGGGGAGGAAGCAGGAGGAGGATACTTGAAACTTATGCTATGATACAGCCCGTTCTCTTGAACGTTCAAATCATCATTAAAATGTACTAAATTGTCTGAACGTAACCTAACGGAGGACTCAAGAATATATAACGAACATCACATCAATTTTGCGAGCTGCTATGATTTTTAGTACCATGTTTTTTTTTTACCTTGCGGGAGTTGAGACAAAAGGCGATGTGTTGGAGAGGATGGGGTTGCATGATACGCGAACTCTCGCCTGGCGTTCCGCGAGCGCTATGTCATGGGTTCGTATCCTGGCCGGGGAGGATTTACTGGGCGCAATTCCTTAACTGTAGCCTCTGTTTAACGCAACATGTAAAATGTGTACTTGGATGAAAAAACGATTCTTCGCGGCAGGGGATCGTATTCCAGGGACCTGCCCGAAACGCTACACGTACTAGTGGCTGTACAAGAATGTAACAACTCTTGTATATATCACAAAACTGAGTCCAGCGTACCAGCCAGGCCACCGGAATCAAAAGGTGACATAGTACGCTTGGAAACTAACTTTGCCACTGTTTTTGTTTTAGATTCAGCTACTCTGACCAAGAAGTTCAAAGTAGCACGGGCTATGGTGAGCCCGTAGTGGACTTACCTGTTACAGGAGCCTTTTGGTACTGTTCCTCAGTTGATTAAGCAGTCCCCTCTCGCGGCAGGGAAAGGGGAGGGGAGGGGGATTAG